AGCTAACCAAAGATAGGTCGGCCCCTATCGGTTTTCATACCAAAACCTACTTTTCCACAATCTCGTGTCCACTCTAGTACTGATTACCTCTTCCGGAGGTTTAGTCCGATGCTCATGTGTACCCAAGTGTGTAGTGTGCATGTTGTCAATTATATGCATGTACATAGCATGAATCTGAGGCTTACGCGAAGACGGACTAGATCGACTTCATGGGACCAGTACGATCTTGAGCAGTGACTTATATTTTGGTCCGTTTTGGACGTCTTGGGATGCAGTGTGCGAGGGAAAGACCTCAATATCATGCTGCTATGGGGTGGCATATATTTCATGCAATGTATGCATCGCAACAGCCCTGTTGCCTATCAGTGGGGAGTCTCTCGAGATCAGGATCCAAGCTTCTCAGCTGTTTCGAAAAAAAGAAGACTTCAGTGCACACGCAGCACATGTGCATCTTGCAAGATCGAGATACCTATTCTGTCTCCTAGAGCTATATGAACAAGCTACCTGGTGCATCGCAGGATTACCATGCCGGAGGCATGGGCTGTGCGGGCCTCCATCGCGGGTGTGCCCTCCTTGCCCTCTTGCAGCTGCCCTGGCCGGTTGATGATGCATGCTCGGGGTCCATATGAAAGCCCATTGCTTTTTATGATGCTGGTTCTGTTCAAGCTTAATTTGTGTCGCAAGTCGACGAAGCCGGGTTCCCTGCTATGGCGCTTCGTGGCCATTCGTTGGTTGTCAACCTAGCACAACTTGATGCTCCGAAGGTGCTTTGATTGCAATACTTATAAGTTTCTGAAGTCTGTGCATTTGATCAATCTGGCTAGCTATGCAGCTGAGGTGTTCATCGCCACAGCCTGGGGTCCTGGCTGATGCTTACATGTTCTAGCATTTTTCTCTCTCGGACAAATATACTACCTGCAGGCCCTCTGTCTTCGGTGGATGACCAACCTCACCTTCGACGAACGCTACCACTTCTTCGAGGTGTTTGCTGGGGACGGGGCCGTGTCGCAGTGTTGGCTGCTAGACTAAAGCCAGCTAGTGTTTCGTATCGTGTCTCGAGCAGAATGCTATATACTGCTAATTGATCCGAGGCATGAACAAGGCTTCAAAGTTGCATCCTTTGACCGCCGCTACGGCGACTCCATGGATATTCTATCCCACGGTGGCTTCGCGTGGCTAGCTGGATGTTTGGAACTGCAGGTGTAGTTATATGCATGTGTATGTGCCCAAAGATCCATATCTGAGGCTGGCAATGTACTGCATTCTGTGCGAAACTCCCGATGCCATGAACCTGCTGGCTCCCGACTGTGGTAGTTGGGTGGTCACCACCCGAAGAACATCGATGAGATCAGCCCTGAACCCTGTTGGAAGGCAAGCCTTACCCTGGGTAGATCGCAACAACTGCACTGTTTCTCGGAGTTTCTGCTGCAATTAAATTAAATCATGTACTTCCTATGCATATTCATAGATCTTGCACAGTTGATATGAAACTCGGATAGCCCCTGCTCTGAGGTGTGTCCTACTTATACTGTTGGTTATGTGCCAGCACGGTGTCTGGGCGCTCGAGCAGCCGCAGGGGTCTTTGCTGTCGGCTTATAGTCGGTGGGACTGGCTGTGCAACCGGGTTGCCAAGGCTGGGTGTTCACGCGCACACACGCACACGACACGTACCCGCACACTTTATCTCTCTCGCTGTCTCGCTCGCTCGCTCGCTCGCTCGC